ATAGATTAAAATATTATTAGTTTTATACTTCAAAACGGGGTAAAACTTCAATATACTATTTTTAGCAACAGTAAACTTCTTTATACATTCTTTTAACAACACTAATATAAGACATGTTGATTCAAAGTGATTTAGTTAAGTTTGATATTATGCAATCTTAATAATTTTAAAAAATATTTCAGCATAAAATAAACTTTTGAATTTAAAAATTAAAGATAAAAATTTTACCTGCAGTTTAAAATCTAGTTTTATGTAATTAATTTTTTTAGGATGAAATAATAAAACTCTAATTTTCGAATTAAATGTGGTTCAAAAAGAAAATTAATTTAGAAGGGACTAATTTCTCCAATGGCTTTTGCTTTACAAAAATTTGCTTTTCTCTTGCCTCACAAAAATTTACAAAAATTTAGAAGGGACTAATTTCTCCACTGGGAGATTTGATCCAAATATATATAATGTTTTAAAAGGTTCTAAACAACTTTTATAAAGTTTTTAAAAGGTTTACAAGTTTTTTATAAGGTTTTTAAACAGTTTTTAAAACGTTGTTAAAAGGTATTTATACGATATTTCTGAAATATATATATATATATATATATATTTGAATCTATATAGATATAAGCTTACACATTTTTTGGATAAATTTCAAAATTCTAGTGATTTTTTGATAAAATTTGAAAGAGTGGTATTTTTAAAAAGTGATATTGGAAAAGGGGTATTTAAAATTTTCGTTCATAATATTACTATTACAAAAAATTTCAAAAAACTTAATTTAGATATTATACCTTAAACATGATTATACCATTATCCTAAAAAATTTATTTTCTAACTTCCAGTTTTCTTAAAAACTATTCTCGCATATTTTTTTATTTTTCAATTTATTTTATTTCTTAAACTTAATTAATTATTAAATATAATAATGGTAAACTTCTTACAAGTTAACATCAATCCAAAAAAAATGAGCTATAGTGTCGTTGAGATAAGCATTAAGAAAAAATTTTAAATATGAAAGTATACAAAATTACATATTTGAAAAAAAAAATATATTTTAGAAATCATTATACTACGAATTCTATTGACTTCTGTTATCCTTACTTTAAGTTAGTAATGTCTCTTTTTAATTTCCCTTTTATTTAGCCCTCTTGTTTTAGCCAATAAGATTGCACTATAAATATATATAAAAAATTATAACATATTAAAAAAAGTAAAAAAATTTAATGAAAATATTTATTTTGTTAAGCGCATAATCTCGTTTAATTGTACTATCTAGATCTTAATTATGTTTTATAAATTGAAACAGATAAATAACCTTGTATAAATTATGTAATTTAAACTCTACTTTGTATTTATAAACCTAAATCAACATAAAACCTTGTTTAATTGTAAAATATAAACCTTGATCCTCGTTTATAAATTCAGGAAACATATAACATGTTTAGTTGTAAAAACTAAACTTTAATCTTTCTTTATAAACTAAAATCGACATATAATCTCGTTTAATTGTAAATAGTTTAATATATCTTAAATTTACACATATCAATATCTTAGCGTACAATTGACACATGTCACATTAATGACTAACTTATTTAGATTAACTTACTGAAAACAAATATTTAAATATTACAAAAATATTCACGATAATGCAAATATTTTCTAAGATTAATTTATAGTTGACCAACTTATTGTATATTTTTCTTTATTTTTTTATTTTTTATTCTTTAGACCTAATTTTTATATTTTTTATTAATAATTTTATTTTATAATTACTATCCTTTTTCCTTTAGGATTACTACCAAGTAATTGTTAAAATTCCTGAATATTTATTTTCTTCGCCTTTTTGCTATTTTGAAAATTAATTTTTAATAAAAACTAATTTATATAATTTTTTATCACTAATTATCTGACACTTATCAACATCTTATCTATTCAATTAACACGTGTCACGATCTTGTTAATGACTAACTTTGAAAACCCAACTTTATATAATAAGATTTTATTATCAATCGAACATAACAATGAGTTTTTATACGTAATTTTTCTAGTTTCTTTAGAAGAGGGTAAAGGGGAATTTTGAGAGGCGAAAAATTGTTTTGTTTTTAAGATATAAAAGTTTGATCAAGATTTGTAATTAGGAAATAAGTTATCAACGGTAGATTAAACCTATGTATCTATATTAATATTTTTGCAAGGATTTTGAGAGAAATTTAATGCTCTTATATATTGAAAAATCATTTAATTATTTTTTTAAAAATTAAGTAGGAATAAAGCTTCAAACCCAAAACATGTTGATACAAAAGAAACTTTTTTACCACTAGACGACATTAATATATTAGTAATATTATGTAAACAATTGTATATACTTATCTGAAAATGTGTGACTGAAATTTTATGTAACGCCCGTGTTCTGAAAATTAATAGGAGGCTTGAATGTGTATAAAAATTAGGGTGGAGTCGGTTTAATTCCGGTAGATTTCCTAAACTGGTGCATTTGTTTAATTGAATCAAAAAAGGTTTAATTAATGTCAGTTTAGGTAAACTCTGTTTTAATCAAAATTAAACCAAAAACCCTAGTTTTATAAAGAACGCTTCTTTCTCTCTTTTGTTTTGTCGCTGTTGTTTCCGAGAGTTGAGTTGAGAAAAGGAGAAGGAGAAGTTCACTTGTGAGATGGAGAAGGTTTGCTTTGCTTTGGTGTTTAAGGCAAGAGAAGCAGATTCGTCACGTCCTGGTAGAATAGAGTTACGACGTATCAAAGCTTCTAAAGGTAATGAATTTTGGTAGGTTTGTTCTTAAGGCGTTTACGTTGATTCTTCTTTTTACAGAAGTGAATTCGGATTAATACTCAGTGAGTTATATGCAGTTTGGTGAGACGCGTTTTCTCTGTTGCGAACTGGGATCAGCAGAGTTTGTAAGTGCGATCGTGGTTTCATCGCTTCTCTGATTGGCACCAATTTTTTTGGGCAGCTTTGTGACGTCTGGATCTTTCTTTTCACCGTAGGATTAAGAAGTTAACGGTTGGTTTATGTTTTAGGGCTTCGTTTCTGCGGCTGTAGTTTTTCTGCTGTTTCTGTCCTTTTGGTTCTTAGAGATTTTTGTTTGTGTGGTTTATTGTAGGGTGTTGTTTGGCTGTTGCAGTCGCGAGGAGAGTCTTTTCTGGTTGTTTTTGTTATTCAAATCACCTTGTTAAGGTGAGTGCGTGACCATGAACTTATCTAAGCGATTGGGATTGGGTGACTTGTTTTGTGATGATTTGTCGGTGAATTGGAAGTGTTATTGGATGTTTAGCTTGCTAGATGGTTTGTTTATGTTATATATGTGGGTGTTATCTCATTGCTTGTGTGTATAGCTCGTAGATGGGAGGATCGCCCTCACTAAGTATTTATGAAATACTTATGCATCTCTTTCTTTGATGCAGGTAAAAGCAAAGTATGATCCGTGAAATCATGGCGAGGAGAGGAGGATGATCTAGGCGCTCATTGGTGTTTTAGATTATTGTTGGATTTGTTAGGGTGTTAGAATGAAATTTAGAAACATGTTAGGATGATCATGTTTTGGATTAATGTTTGGTTGATCTTGCTGTTTTAATGGAATTGTTTTATTGAATTTTTGGTTAAGTCTTCCACTAGTTAATATTGCTGGTTTACTTTAATGAGATTGCTTGGTTTAATTGGTTTAAATTATTATGGTCGGTTTAGCTGATTTGAAATAATTAGGTTAATCCGGTTTGCATGTTTAAAAGAAAAAAAAAATAGGATAGGTTCTTTCAATACTTGTAACACCCCGACCGCCATCTCTCTAGTGGGCCCGATGTTCACCACCAGCCCATGGGCCCACCTTTGTTAATGGGCCTCACGTCCTCTCACTAGGCCCATCAGCTTATTAATATCCGACGGCCGGTTAGCTACGTCCGAGAGGCTTCAAAACTTGTTTACCGACCCTACAAATCACCACATGATCTTTCCCTGTGTTTTGGCCTCACTCACACAGTTCCGACAACCTCTTCCCGGAAGATCACCCATCTTTTGACCAGCATAAGCACGCTTAACTGTGGAGTTCTCTCAGGATCCTTGACCGAAAAGATTAGTGCACTTTGGTGACATAGGTGGCCAAATCAATTCATTTAAACCTCTACGCAACCAGGGTCTCACATTTTATCCGGCTTAACGATCCCGTCACAAATGTGTTATGTCGGGTTTTTGATTAGACCAATTTTAAAAAGACAATATTTTATTTGACAATAATTTAATACATTGAATATTTTATTTTAACTAATAAAAAATTGGATATTAAATGTCCAAAGTAAAAATTGGATAAATTTTATAGAATGATTAAAATATTGTAAATATGTAAACTTTATAAAAATTTGAAGTATTGTTTATATCTTAACTCATAATGAGTTTTAAATATTATATTTTAACTACATATAGATATACAGGTTGTTTGACGAGAAAGATTTGAACCTTGCTCATTATCAAATACACGGGGTTAATATATATTAAAATATTATTAGTTTTATACTTCAAAACGGGGTAAAACTTCATTATACTATTTTTAGCAACAGTAAACTTTTTTTTTTATAACGGCAAATTTATATTTATTAATTAAGTAACATTACAATCAATAGCGTTTTGAATCAAAGAAGGAATATGAGAATAAAAGTAATATACTATCTGTATACTATCTTTTAACAACATTAATATAAGACATGTTGATTCAAACTGATTTAGTTAAGTTTGATATTATGCAATCTTAATAATTTTAAAACAAATTTCAACAATAAATAAAATTTTAAATTTTAAAATTAAAGATAAAAAGTTTTACCTGCGGTTTAAAATATAGTTTTATGTAATTAATTATTGTTTAGGATGAAATAATAAAACTCTAATTTTCGAATTAAATGTGGTTCAAAAAGAAAATTAATTTAGAAGGGACTAATTTCTCCAATGGCTTTTGCTTTACAAAAATTTGCTTTTTCTCTTGCCTCACAGCATCAAATCTACATGGTGTCAGCCTTTGCTTCTTCTTCTTCTTCTTCTAGATGCATCTGCTCAGAGAGAGATAAACAAACCCTAAATGGCGGCTGAATATTTTGTTGCATCCCCACCATTTCACAGCTCCTGAACCCTAAATTCTCACTGAAATGTGTGCTGCTGCTCTCAACTAAGCACAAGAGATTTGTGAGATTTCTAAATCCTGTCCGAAGAAGAAACAGAGATCGTGTGCTGTCTGATGGTAATGGCGAATAGGCTTCCTCTTCGTGAACGGGTATGTTGTGTCTTCAATCCCTAATCTTAGATCCTGCCTGAAGCAATTGCTTTTATCTGATCAGTTAATTCAGTTTCGTTCGTAGCTAAAAATGGAAACTTTCGATTTAGGGTTTTAGTTTCAGGATCTGTTTAGCTTAATTCTCTTACTAGAAGTTGGTGTCTGGACCGATCTTGATGTAGACAAATTTGGACCCTTTCTTAAGAAAGTCAAGTCTTTTTATTCCTGTAATAGAAACTCTTACCAATTTGTAACTAAAAATGGAGACTTTTGATTTAGGGTTTTAGTTTCAGGAACATTTTAGCTTAATTATTACTAGAAGTTGGTGTGTGGACCGTTCTTGATGTAGACAACTATTATTTTTGGACCCTTTCTTGAGAAAGTCAAGTTCTTTGAGTCTTGTAATAGAATCTCTGACCAACTCAGTGCTTCAGAATCGTGGCTTTGATATGGTTAGCTCTGTGTAGTTGATTTATTCTTGATTAGGTTCAACTGACATAAATCTTGTTGAATGCTTCTGTTCTTGTGCTTGCTATGGCTATGTGTGCGCGAGGGTGTGCTGATAGATGTGGATATGTTAATATGAGCACCATTAGCATGATCCTGCTTGAAGCAATCGCTTTTATAGGATCGGTTAGTTTAGTTTGTAGATAAAAATGGAGACTTTTGATTTAGGGTTTTAGTTTTAGGAACAATTTAGCTTAATTCTTACTAGAAATTGGTGTATGGACCGTTCTTGATGTAGACAATTATTATTTTTTGACCCTTTCTTGAGAATGTCATGTCCTTTAAGTCTTGTAATAGAAACTCTTACCAACTCATTGCTTCTGAATCGTGGTTTGATATGGTTAGCCTGAGTGGTTGATTTATTCCTGATTAGGTTCAACTGGTATTGTATAATTTGTGAGTCTTAAGCATTTGATGAAAGGGTTGACATAAATCTTGTTGCATGCTTCTGTTCTTGTGCTTGATATGGTTCTCTGTGTGCTACGATGTGCTGATATGAGAAGAGTTAGTTCCCATTTTCACCATTAGTATGATTCACAGTTCTTTTACTGTTTTTGACAGAGGAAGCAGTGGGTTGGGTGTTTTAGAGTGTTGTCTTGTTTTCGTACGAAAAAAGGAGAGAGACGTATTGTGCCGGCTTCTCGAATACTTGAAGGGAATGTTGCAACTGGACATCATCATCATTCAAATCAACCTCAGGCAGTGGGATTGAGTAATCAAGCTACATCAATGCTTGCTCCACCTTCCTCTCCAGCTTCTTTCTCACATTCTGCTGCTCCTTCGACAATGCAATCGCCAAATTGCCAGCTTTCGTTTTCTGCTAATTCTCCTGGTGGTCCTTCATCCGCGATGTTTGCAACCGGGCCTTATGCTTATGAGAGGCAACTTGTTTCACCACCGGTTATCTCAACCTATACGACGGAGCCATCTACTGCTCCGTTGACTCCTCCTCCTGAGTTTGCACATCTCACCACTCCTTCGTCGCCCGATGTACCATATGCACGGTTCCTGACATCTTCTGCTGATCTCAAGAAAACAGAGAAAGGTGATTATATTTCTTCACACGATCTTCATACAACATACGCACTGTATCCTGGCAGTCCTGCAAGCAGTCTTAGGTCACCAATGTCAAGGACCTCAGGCGATGGTCGATGCTCCTCCTTTCCCGAGCGTGAGTTCTTACCGCAATGGGATCCTTTGGCTTCTCCAAGAACAGGCAAATGTTCAAGGAGTGACTCTAGTTATGCACAGACACCTGAGACTAACAATACTCCAAAGGCATCTGAAAGTTCAAATTTCTTCTGTCCTGACACATTTGCTCTATACTATCGTGACCATGATGCTCCGTTCTCTCAAACTGGTGGAAGACTAAGTGTTTCAAAGGACTCAGATGTTTACCCAACTAGTGGAATTACTCAACGCATTTCCAAGCAAGATATGGAAGAACCAGAAGCATACAGAGCTTCCTTTGGTTTTAGTGCAGATGAAGTCATCACTACAAGCCAATATGTGGAGATCACACATGTGAACGACGACTCCTTCACCATGAGACCACATAGTACATTGGATGCAACTTCACCAAACTGTAATATAAAGACTGCATCAGAACGCAAAGGGCTAAATTTTTATGGCTCAGACGCTAACTTGGACCTGCAAAAAACTGAATATACTAGATGCAACTTACAAGAGCCGCTCGAGTTTTACAATGGTAATATATGTCTTATGAACTGAGTTTTACAATTTACCTCAAATGATGAGAATGTGTTTTGAAACCTCCTGTGTTATATATATGAAAGCAGATCATATGCAGCTGCAACCTGGACACATATCGGTATCAAGCACACCGGGCAATAAAGGTCAAGCAAAGACAAGCAGAAAATACAAGATGGGTCTGTACAGTTCAGATGCAGAAATTGATTATAGGAGAAGTGGACGAAGCAAAGGAGATTTTGCATGGCATGACTAAAAGAGACACTCTTCTTACTCTTCCTATACGTTTTCTTTTAACTAATCTGTAGAGTTTGGTTTGGTTTTATAAATATAGATACATGAACAGATATTGTATTTAATACACTAGATAAACAATTTCAAGCAAAATCTTGGCACAAAGCAAATATAATACAGAGGAACCATATGATTGTCAAGTTCATAGACTCCCTCTTATGAGTTCCGAATGGATGATAAAATGGAAGTTGGAGTCATGGTTAATCCAACGAATGCTTCTATCTTGCTTTTTCGTCACAACTCGTCTCATTTTCGCTCTTTGTGTCTCGGTTAGGCACTTTGATATTGTATTGAAGAGTTCAGCCATGTTGAGAGAAGTATCCTTCGCGTAGTTGTAAACAATCTTTGGCAATAGAATCTTTGTCTCTTTCTCAAATCCAATACTTGTTTGGATGAAATCGTCTCTTGCTTGCCTAAGTTCTTGAAAGATCCCTTCTGCTGTATAAACTCGGACCTAATAAACCATTACATTGTTTTAAAATGGTTAGCTCGGTTTGCGGGGTAAAAGGGAAAGGAGTTGTGTCGATTTAGTACCATTGGATAGGTTGATGCTCCGGTAGAGAGGGCAAAATGAAGAAGTGGTTCGGCATAGTCCAACGCATAAATGTGTCCACCGCTACTCGTCTTCGAACTCTTACCCGGTGAAAATAGCGTCCATAAACGCTACCATGGCCAAAAAAACAGATTTCACATTTTTAGAAAGTACAAGATTTACTAAATACTAATCACTATGGTTTTAATTGAGATAATGTAACATAAATGTATACAAACAACTAAAGTCATAAATAAACTTACTGATGGTGAATGGCAAGGACTAATGCCCATTATCAAACTCTGGATATCATATGCATTTACCCACTCCCCACCTATGTTAATTGCTGCCTGGACAGGTTTAACACATAGTCTTATGAGTTCTCATATGATCAACGATCTAACAAAACAATAGACTCAAGTAAAAGATTAAAATCTCAAACCTTCAAGACCATTGTGATTGTTGTATCTTCACCAAGTCCATATACAATATATGCCTGTAATATTACACAAGTTTTAAGATCATATATGATAGCAAAAACGCGTTCGGAAACTCGAGTTTGCTAATTTGCTTACGTGCATCACCAAAGCATTATGAATGTTGGTCCAGAACGCAAGCTTTTCTTCCCTAGACATCTTTGTTGCATCAACTTTCTCAAGCTTTTGAACCAGCGATCTATGTAATGCAAGAACTTTAAAATACATGTAATGAAAGAAGTTATTTACACTTTGTTTATTTTTACCATGCAATCTCACCTGAAATGTTGAAGCATGCTCTCAATGGACTTTAAATTGTCATCGTCTAAGTAAAGCTTATGGATAACAACTCCAAGTTCTTGTCCACACTCTTCATTCTTTGATTTCTTGAAAAATATGTTATGTCCATTTTCTGAGAGTTTGAAGTATATCACACAAATATTTCTCATAATCTCTTCAGAGAGTTTATTGGGACTAAGAGTGTTTAGACCAAGAAGATCAGCCAAACTCGGGTTACCGGATGAGTCAGATCTTTTTATCTTGTCCTGAAAACGTTTCACAATCAAAATCTAACATTAAAGAAAAATGCAGTAACACGTCAACATATGCATCAACAAATCAAGATCACTCACTGTTTCAGACAAGCTTTTGAAGCTGGCTGAGATAGACTTATCAGACACAGAAGAGACCTGGTCACTGTGAAGTTTGGTCTTAAATGGTGATGATACTGCAGGCAAATAATCTCCGAAAGATGATCTGTAGAGCGAGAGAAGATACAGCTCTAACTGTAAGATCTCTGTCTCGAGCTCCGCAATCTCCCCCTTCAGTTCTTCGTCAGACTGCGAAACTCAAGAACCCCTAAATAGATAAGCTCACATGTATGTATGAATATGAGTTAGATATGTACATGAAAACATGAAAAGTGAAGTTAACCTTAGGCATTGAGGAACCAAGGCTGCACTTCACCTCCTCAACATCCCACATAGGAGATTTCTTAAAACACAAACCAAAAATTTCGGAATATTCAACCTAACTTATCCATCAAGAAATCAATAGTAGATGAATATATTAGGTAAACAAGAACTTACAGAATTGGCTTGAGAAGGCTCCTTTTGAAATGCTCTACAAGAAGATGAATGAATAAATAAGACAAACCAAAACAAGATTTAATCTTCAATAACTTGAGATTAACAAGGGTAAAGCAAAGTACCTTGGAGTACTTAGCTGAGAAGAAGATGAAGAAGAAGAAAAAGAAGAAGATGAATAATGATAACTCTTCGAAGGCATTGTCTCTCTAATAAAACTTAACTTGAGAACATGAGATGATAATAACAAAGAAGATGATGAGTATAATAAAAGGAAGAACCAAGAGAGAAGATGGGAAGGTGAAAAGGACAGTGATTGGGTTTGGTATCCGAACAAAGCCACCACTAGGTGAAAAAGAATCTAACAGAACCACATATATACCAAATCTTATGAAGTTTCTAAATTATTTTTAGATAATTATAAATCAAATGATTAGACAAGACACTTATACCAAATCAAACCCAATCCTACAAAAAACAAAAAAATGTTAGTTAATTTATCTTGTCTACAAGTATAAAAGAGGAAGAACCACTCCTCTTATTAACAATAGACATTACCAAATCTATGTTTTATGATAAATTAAATGCTAAACGAAAAAAAAGAATTATTATATATGTATATACAATTTATATTGTAATTTAATTTCTGTATTGATGAAACCTCAAATGATGCCATAATATCGAATTGAGTTCACTTGGCTTGAAGCCCAATTCGGTAAATTTTTTTAAGTCTGTTTTCTCAAAAAAGTTTTTTTTTTTTTTGTCATTTGTTCTTAATGTGGAAAAAAATTATAAATTGAATTATTGTAATTTTTAGTTTTACTTTGTCTTCAATTTTTCATTTCTAGTTTAATTGTCTTCAATTTTTTATTTATTTTTTAATTCTTGCTATTAGAAGTATTTTATTTTATTTTAACAATTCTATTTCTTTTTTTCAAATGCAAATTAAAATTTAATACTATATATCATAATTTTTATATAATAATATATTTGAAAAAGGATAAAATAATGATTTAATTGATAATCATGATTAAAATGTTTTCTTTGTTCGCAAGGTCCAATCCTCATTATTCGATCTATTATATTCTATCCTCCTTGAAATCGTCAAAGTTTAACATTGAGCTAATCACACTTTGATATCTATCATCTTTACCCTTATTTTTCTTGGGCCTAGATGGACACCCATGTGATGCAATATTGTTTGTCTTATTATGTTTCAGGAATTTGCATATTCATCTCCATGACTCCATGCATATGTAAAAATCTATAATAATTAATATTGGGGAATTCTCTTAATAATACCACTAAAATGAATATATTTTCTAAAAATACCATTATGAGTTTTATTTTTCAAAAATACCATTAAATACATTTTCTCAAAAATACTACAAAACTAAAACTAACTTCAAAATCTTAAACACTAAACCCTGCACTATAAACTATACCCTAAATATAAATAGTCAACCCAAACATTTTAAAAAAAATTCTACACCTTCAAATTTTTTTTTATGTTTATGATTTTTTTGGAAAATAAGACTTTTGTGGTAGTTTTGGAAAAAAAAACTTAAAATATGGTATATGAGGGAATTTCTCATTTATATTCAATTAATTAATAAAATTCTCTAATCCCACGTTAAAATTTAATAAACCTGATAAAATAACAAGATAATATTTATGGTCTCATCATATTATAAATTTACAAAATACATTCATATATATATTACACATGTAAGAAAATTTAGTGAAATATGATTCTTATGTGAGAAATTGATAACAATAACCTTTTTATGATACCCTCTTTTAAAAATACCCTCTTTTTTTACCATTTTCATTTTTGCCCTCTCTTAATTTTTAATGGCTATTTTACCCCTATTTGAAAGAATATTCTTTCACAAAGGAAGGAATATTCCTTCCAAAAATTTCCCCCCAAAAAATTTCCCGCCAAAAACTTTCCCGCCAAAATTTTCCCGCCAAAAAAGTTTTCGAGAAAAACTTTTCCCGCCAAAAATTTTTCCGAGAAAATTTTCCCGCCAAAATTTTTTAAAGGGTTTACAAGATTTTTTAAAGGGTCTTTTAAAGGGTTTACAAGGGTTTTTAAAGGGATATACAAGAGTTTTTAAATGCTTTTTAAAGAGTTTTAGAAGCCTACAAAGGTTTTTAAATGGTTTTTAAATAATTTACAATGGTTTTTAAAAGTTTTTATAAGTTTATAACAGTTTTAAAAGGATTTACAAGAATTTTTAAAGGATTTTAAAAATTTACAAGGATTTTTAAAGGTTTTTTAAAAGGATTTACAAGTGTTTTTAAAAGGATTTAAAAGTATATTTAAAGGCATACAAAGATTCAAAAATAGTTTTAAAGGATTTACAAGAAGTTTTAAAGGGTTTTAGAAGTTTACAAAGGTTTTTGAAGGGTTTACAAAAGTTTTTAAAGGTATTACAAGTTCTTTAAAATGAGTTTTAAGGATTTACAAGGGTTTTTAACGGGTTTTAGAAGTTTACAAAAGTTTTTATTAAATGATTTATCACTGTTATAAGTGGTTTAAAGGGATTTACAAGTGTTTATAAATGTTATAAAATGATTTACAATGGTTTTAAAAGGTTTACTCAAGTTTTGAAAGGTTTTGGATGACTTTTAAAAGATTTACAAGGGTTTTTAAAGGATTTTTTAAGGGAATTATAAATATTTACAAGGTTTTTTTAAGAAATTGCGGAAAAATTTTGCTGAAATTTTTTGGCGGAAAAATTTTTGCCGAAAATTTTTGGCGGGAAAATTTGGCGGGAAATTTTTCGGAAGGAATATTCTTTTTGTTGGAAAGAATATTCCTTTTTCATCATGGGTTATAATAAAGGAGGGTAATTTAGTCATTTTGTATATTGAAGAGGGTATTTTTGAAAATGAACACCTAGAGAGGGTACTTGTAGAAAAGGGTATCATAATAAAGGTTAGTTGTGCAAATCTCCCATCTTATGTAGTTCATTTTTTCTTAAATTAATTTTATTTTTTGTTAGAATTCATTTCTAATATTTTTATTCCATACATGTGTAAAATAACAACAAGGAACAATGAAATAGCAAGGCCACACAAACACGAGAAACATATAAAACAACAAGGAAAATCAATCCACAAATCAAATAAACACAAGGCTCAATTCAATCTAAATACCCAGAAGATTTAAAAATTAAGAATATACCTATAATTTTGTATAATTAAATCTCTTTCTTTAATTTGTATAACTTGGACTAAAATACCCTTTTGTATATGAGATATTATTTAGCGAGATAATAAACTAGATATCAACTAATTTTTATTTACCCAAACAATATTTATTCATCAACTAGAAAGAGCAAAACATATTATAAGTTAGATAATTATTTATTGAGCTAACATGATAAAGTATATGTATATCGATAAGTTTATAAATATATTGAATTAAATAATATTGTATCGCGATAAATGTTTAATTATACTAGGATTTACCCCGTGGTACATCAGAGGTCTATAGTTTAATATATTTTTTCGGTTGGTCATTTTCGTAATTGGTTTATATAGTCTAGTTTTGTACGTGTTTATTTCATTTAATTTTATATAATTTTATGAATTTGTATTATAAGCAGATTCATGGATATATGTGGTCAATCCGCAGGACGATTTTGTTTTAAATAAAAAATTATATTTTAACTTAACCTGTAAAAAAATTTATTATAGACAACCGGTAAAAAAAAAATTCTCATATTTATGTAAATTCAAACCCGTTCAATCATATTTATGTACAATATTATTATGTTTTAAAAAAAAATTAGAGTTAAAACATCTAGAACACATAAAAGAGATTAGCTATTTGATGTCTACATTGTGTTTGCTTTTGATGGATCTTTCAAGAGTTTAGGTTTATCCACTTCAACTGTATCTCCTCAATCTCACATATTTTTCCATTACAACAATACAGCCATATTTATACTACATGATTGTTGCATAATTAACCTAACACTTAAACTAAACAAACCTATTTACATATGAGCCTTTGTTAACTTCAGGCCCAAAGACCTTTTCCTCTTTCATCTTCTTCCTCCTCTTATGACATAACATCTTCTTCTTCTTCTTGCATATGCTCACTCTTCTCCTTGTTTTTTTTTTTTTTGAATGTAATGTTAAATTATATTTAAAGAAAAAATAAACGTTTTTACAACTAGTGCAACCAAATTTGAAAAATATGCTAAACGTTTCAACTTAATAAAAACATCTTTAAAAGAGATTGACTAAGTACGAGATTGGAGCCACCGAGTAAATCCTTCATCATACCGCCTATCTCCCATTCGTCTGATCGCATGAATCTGATTTTTAATTTGTCGATCAATCCATCCTATGATTATTGATGCAGCGTGTGGGGGAGCCCCATGTTTCCTTCCATTGCGCTCTCTCCATAGCATATAGACCACAGTTTGAAAGACGTACCGAACAAGAAACTCCTCAACCTGGTCTTGATGAGCTCGAGAAATGAAGTCGATGAGAGCTTGCCAGTTAGTCGTAAAAGCCGATTTTAACAACCCCCTAGCAAGCGCTTCCCACACTTTTGAAGCATAAAGACACACAAAGGAAAACTGATCTCTTGTTTCAGTGTGTGTTTCACATAACATACAAACTCCCGAGACATTCCGATTCCACATAGCCATGTGTGCACCCGTAGGAAGACGATCAAGGACTGCTAACCATATACAGAAAGCTTGCTTCAGAGTGGCATGGGCGAACCAAACCCCTTTGGCCCAGCTGACCAAACTCCCTGCTGTTCTTACATGGTTCCAAGTGTCCCTAGTTGAAAATCGAGGTTTAAACTCATCATTTTTACCCCTGCCAAAGCACCACATCTGATTCGATTCCTCTGTTTTGGTAAGCAAGGCTGAGCTCATCTTCAAGTGAGTTTAGAAGTTATCCACGATGGTGTCTTCTTCGTCTGATCATCCAAGCTGCTGCGACCGTACTTTCTCTTTTAACGCCCATGTCAATGATCCCTCTTTCACCAAGAACCTCTGATAAGTAACCCAAGCTCGACCAGCGATCAAACCAGAAAGAGGCGGTGTGCCCATCTCCCAGTTTAACTCTGCAAAAACCCTTTGCTATATCCTGATAGTTCAACAACTTACGCCATATCCAAGAGCCCTTAGTCACTCTATTTTTAACGGACCAAAAGGTGTCATTCTTAAGCAGATTCTTAGTTACCCAAGAAGCCCAGAACGATTTGCTGTGAGAAACTAGTCTCCAAATCAACTTCAAACAACTTACTTGGTTCACTTCAACAAGAG